TTTGAGATGGAGTGTCACTCTGTTGCCCAGGCTGGAGTGCAGTGGCCTGATCTCTGCTCACTGCAACGTCCGCTCTCTCGTTTCAAGCGATTCTCTTGTCTCAGCTTCCCGAGTAGCTGGGATTACAGGCGCCTGCCACTGCACCTGGCTAATTTTTGTATTTTCAGTAGAAACAGGGTTTCACCATCTTGGCCAGGCCAGTCTTGAACTCCTGACCTTGTGATCCATCCGCCTCGGCTTCCCAAAGTGCTGGGATTATAAGTGTGAGTCACCGTGCCCTGCCTCCATGCTGATTTTTTTTTTTGTTGTGGTGGGGTGGGTTCAGCCAGTGATAGGGAAGAGGAGCAGAATAGGATTGCTGTTGTGTGTTCCCCAAGATGGGAAAAGATGCCTTAAATAAGTGTAATTGGAACAGCTTGAGTATTGGGAGAAGTAGAGGCTGACTCCGTGTCCAGGTAGAGTAGAGGGGAAGGTGGAACAGGAGAAAAGAAGGAAAGTGGAGAAAATTAAGGTAGATTCCAGGTAGAGCTGGAGGAAATGAAAAGGCCCGAGGCTCATGACAGGACTAAGTAGGCAGAGTAAGTCTGGAAAACCTGCTGCCACCCTCCTCTCTCCTGCCCCCACCATCACCTAGTCCAAACCAGTGGATATATCTTTCTGTGATGGCTTTTCCTGGAAGACCCCACTGCGAGCTGTGCAACTTGCCCTTTTGGATACAGTATCTACACAGGTGGTAGGGGAAGGAATAGTATCAGATCTTGAAATAGCAGTCTGCACACCTTGAGGAAAGGGACTGCCTTCCAGGTGTGACATTCTGTGTGCGACTGGACAGCCTTGAACTGTAAATACTGCCTAGAGCAGACCAACACCAAGCCTGCTCTTTCAGATGGCAATGTTTATTTTCTCTACCAAGCGCTTGAGTTACATGCAAAAGTTTCATCAGGCACAGGCCTTGCAGATCTTGTCTCTAAATGCCATTCACCAGTTTTTACCTTCTGTGCTGCTATCTTGGTGCCATCTGTGAAGAGAAAAACACTTTTGAGTCTGCTCTTTTCTGTGGTGTAAGCCTCATTTGTTTTCAGGCAGTCTTGTCTCTGGCAGAATTTTAGAGATGGAGGCGGGTTGAATCTTACTGGTTTGGCAACCTTACCTTTCCCCCAGTGTCCCACTAGGGGCCTGATATTTCTCCCCATATAATACCCAGAGCTTTGTTAAGGAGGATAGTGGAAAACACAGGAGGAATTCAGAATGGTTGCAGAGTCCAATTTAATCTGAAATTTGCTTAATAGGCCATGGGTTTATTTGTCTTATACAAATTATATGCAAATATCTGTGTGGTTATTATATGTGCAATGGAGTTATACTAGTTACAGAAAGACTCTGGAGTCTAATTTCTCGTTTTCTGCCTGATTATGGCTGATTCAGGGCAAGATACTTTCTCTCTTGAGTTTTTTTACCCCATTTTATGAGATTTGCAAGGATGTCATAAAACACAACTCTGATTACGAATTTCTGTTCAAAAATCTATACTGGTTTCCCACTGACTCTGGGATAAAGTCCAAATGCCTGGCATTAAAAGCCTTTTATGATCTGACTCCAGTCTATCTTAGCAGCCATATCTCTCCAGCTTCCTTCTGTGTACCCCACAGTGTCCAGCCAAATTAGACGACTGGTCATTCTGGGAATGCATTTGCTTACTCAGAATAGAATACCCTTCCCCTCACCTCTGCTCATTGAAATCTGACCCAGCTTTCAGGATCTGACTCTAAGTGCCACCTCCTCCCAGAAAGTGTTCTCCTCCCCACTTCCCCCAACCAGGAATAACTTCTTCCTTCTCTGTGCTTTATGGCACTACTACATTTCTTAAAGATGTATCTTGCCCTATATTCTTTCATTTGATTGGATTGAAACCTCCTTGAGAGCAATGAGAATGTTTTCATTCATATTTACACCCCCCAATAGTGTTTTAAAAGTTCATGTAAATATTTGGCCCTTGGTCAATGTTTGTTAAATTGAACTGGACTACTTCATGAGGCTTGGGGTTTTTGGGGTTGGTCTCTACTGCTGACACTTGCTCTTTAGAGGCAATTTAACTTTTCTCTCTACTAAAATGAGAAGTGGTATCCTGCCTAGGCAGATATCAGCACAAACTGGAACCAACATATGAAAGCCCTTTGAATAGTTTGGAATAAAGTATCTACATACTATATATATTATTACTAATATTTTCAAAATTAAGAGTTTTTTCCAGAAATTAAAATCATTAATAACTATTTATAAAATTTATTCGTACTATCTCCTCTGAAGGCAGAAACCATATGTATATTTTTTTAACCCAAGGAAAGACCATGACACAGTGAATTAATTACTAAGCTTATGGTTGAACTTGGAGATCCTTCCTTGAAACTTTTCTCATCTCACTGTGTTATGCTTCCTCCTGGCCATCTGTGAGCCCTGAGAGAAGCTGTCACTGAGAATTCGCATGTATGTTTTCAGACCATTTTCCCCCGTCAATCTCCTACCATTACCACCATCTTCCTTTTTCTGTTGTTAAGGTGGAGACAGAAATCCAGCGAGTCTCAGAGGCATATGAGAACCTCGTGAAGTCATCCTCCAAAAGAGAGACCCTAGAGAAAGCCATGAGAAACAAGCTAGAGGGCGAGATTCGGAGGATGCATGACTTCAACAGGGATCTGAGAGGTGAGGGAACCAATGGGCTTGTCTTTATACTTCTGAAGCAGCTGCAGGGTGGTGAAGGGAAGGGCTGAGTAGGATCCAGCTAGGTTCTTTGGGGTTGTTCAACCCATTGGTATGGGCAGTAAATGGCTGGGCATGTGCCAGGCTAATTTTTTGTGACTGTAATAATGCTCAGTCCCAAGCTTGATTGATCAAAGTGTGGGTACACCTCACTGGTCTTATGAGCAATGAGCTGATGTCTTAGGCAGGATCCCTTCTGGGACATCTGGACCCACCTGGCCTACCCCCACAATAAGTACTACCTCTTCTTTTTAACAAGTTTTGCGGAGGCATGCCCTTTGACTGTGCAAGCTTGAAGAGTATAATGTCCTTTCTTATTTCCGGGACTCACTGGCTTCTTTTATTTTTTGCTTTCATCTGATAATATTGAAGACTTTGGGAAATATTTCTACTTTAAAGCACCTTCAGCACCTTCAAAACTACTGACCTTGGGGATGGTACTTTTTTTTTTTTTTTTTTTTTT